TTTTAGCAGGCGGGGACGAAGATGGTGTTGTCTAAGCGTGCCAAAAACGCTCGTTGCTACCTGTGTTCATAACCATTAGATCGAGAGTAGGGGTTCCAGAGATCAAAAAAAAACCTGCACAGATTACACTTCTCCCCCATAGTACGTCAGGCAGTTGTTAACGTTTTTGACGTGAAATAAATAAATAAACAGCCCCTCTCAACTCGTTTTGTCTAGCCAAAAACACATCCTCAGGCGTTATCTGACGCTACTCTATATTCTGGGGAATTCGGTTATTTCTAGCCAGTACCCCCAAATAATCGTCCTATGTTCTCCCGACAGTTTGTCCATTCCTGCACACGGGACACAAGGATAAGGGCGAAATATGTAGCTAATGAAAATACTTTTTTATTACACGGGAGATTTTTTTTGTTACAAAATTTCCCAAATCGCTTGTTGCTGCCTTTATTTAAAATTCATAGTCAAAGAGCCTCCTTCGTAGTCAAAAAGCGTCAATAAGGATTCCGGAATCAACACTATTTAAATCCACATGTCCACTCACTAGCGAATTCATATAGCCAGGTCACGTCCGAATCATTAACTCGATACGAAAGATCACGTTGAAAATGAAGCGTTTCTTGACAGTATGTTCCATTTCCGCTTTCATTTTCAACACGGAGTGGACTGCATTTTCCTACTTGACGCTCTCCTCCAACCGCCATGCGAGTCATCGCAATTTCCTCCCTTGGAATTCCCGTCGAGTCTTATTGCTCTGCCGATGCTGTCATCAGAAACGTCATGACGCGTTCTTCAGGATCTTGGAAGTCTTTAAATATATGTTTTGCCTTAATTGAATCTCTCCCGCTGGTGTATCTTTGAATTGCTAGGTAAGGGTTTTTTATACATGATACATTTTAAAAACATGAACGAGCATAATTTAAAAAACTGAACCAAAAGTGGAATATCTTTCCTCTGGGTATTCCCCTGAGTCATTAAGAAATTCTTTCCCAAAAGAAACATAAACATTTATGAATCATGTAGAAATGGGTTTAAAAAATGTCTTACGTTTGCATTTGAATCTGGACTTTAGACTAATAATCGCAGCAAAATATCAATCAGAAATTCAAGAACACACAGAAACATTTGAAAGTATGCGTAGGCTTCTCACTGTCTTAACCTGGATAATTTCTTGAGTGACCAGGATTGAGCTTTGGGACGTCACTTTGGGCAAACGATTTTGGACCAGAGGGCATACTTATTCAAATGTGTGAACAAGGGTATTTTCAAAACAACGAGTCGTGAAGTATGAAACACCAGCAAAGAAAACAAACCATTTCTTATTAAACCTAATATTTTCTTTCCTTCGAAGATCAACGGCTTCCGGCTGGGTAGTGTACTTACGTTAGAAGAAGCCACTTCGGTTCTGAAACCCCTGGAGATGGCGCTTACACAATGTATTGTAACTTAGTATACCAGTATATCTACAAATTGTCTTACATGACAATGTGAAAAAATATATTGCTCCAGTAAGTTATTGACATTCTCTGCACTGCATTGAAATTAGTTGACAGTTATTTGATCTGTGAACGTCGACAGTGTCAAGGCCTTGAAGCTGCGTGCAAGCATTTGGAGCTGGCGATTGTGGTTTCCAGCTCCGTGTATGGAAAGGATCTTTTCAACCTGTGTTCTCTCATATATCCTCTTATTCCATCAGTATATCGTGCTATCCATTCATCGATCTGTCATATCTCTCCTCATGCGCGCATCGCCATCCCACTGTCATCTTCCACAGGAAATCGCACAGACACACCACCAGCTGGTGATCACTGCCAAGTAAAAGGGAGGACATGAGAGCGTAAGAATCCTCCCTTGCCTTCGCCCAGCAACGAGTAGAAATGAAATAAAAGAATTATTCCAATGAGTACATTGACAACTCACGTACTACATATACATTGAAAGCAAATTCACACAAATCATCGGTGCCCAAGGAAAGTGACACATCTAAAAAATTGTCATTTTGCAGAACGGTTTTATCTGTGGCGAAGTGATCTCTATCGCGAGCAACGGGGACTGCTTTGCTAGATACAGGATACATCGGCTACCTTTCGAACCATTCTTGTCTTTATAATTCCTTTACTAGTAAAATATCATATTTTCCAAATCTATTGGTTCACATCATTAAAAAAGACGGATTTTGAGACGTGTCACTTTTCTCGCGCATGGACGAAATCGCGCTTTTGTGCGACAACCGTCAACACCCGCGCGGTTTGCAGGTGAGCGCGACAGACGCGGACCAGGACGCGAACGCGCGCGTGCTGTACCACATCGTGGACGGCAACCACGACAACGCGTTCGTCATCGAGCCGCCCTTCTCGGGCCTGGTGAAGACCAACATCGTGCTGGACCGCGAGATCCGCGACGCCTACCGCCTGACGGTGATCGCCACGGACGAGGGCCGGCCGCAGCTCACCGGCACCGCCACGTTGCGCATCAGCATCGTCGACGTCAACGACAACCAGCCCACCTTCCCGCCGCACAGCGCCATCAGTGTCAGCGAGGGTGAGCATTGTGTTTTGTTTTTCATTTTTATTTTTGAATGATAAGGTCTATGATGCGTTGTATTAAATGTAGCAGAAAATGGGTTGCTGAACCAAACCACACAAAATGAATTTACGACGAGTAGCTCGCACTATGAACAAGAACAATAAATAAAATACCCTCGTCTAAAACTGAAATGAATTAATATTTTAACAGATACATTTTTCATGAAATGCTGTAATAACATACTATACACATGTGGATATATGTATATAGACACACAGTATTCATATATAACGCTACAACAGCTCTTTACATATCAGGAATATAAAAAAGGTGTTCAATAAAGCAGCACGTGAGTAGCTAACATTTAATGGTCGTCCTCTTTCTTGAAGCCTTACTGTAGCATGATATCAGCTGTCGTAAGCAGTACGCACTGAGTTTGAGTATTCTCAGTGTGAGTAAAGGCAGTCCAACACAATCAGATATTTGCACATTTCTGTCAAATTCGAAACTGTTTCATTGTTTTTGTAATTTTTCCCGAGATCCTGGGTATCTAAGAAAAGCGTCGACACCTCTCGCGTGGCCGGTTGCTGCATAGTTTTCTTTCAATTTCTGGGTGCATTGGAATTTAGCAATATAGATTTCTGGACTCAAGGAAGGCTCGTGCCCTCGTCCCCAGCCTCCGCCTCTGGAATACGCCCTTGGTGCGGGGGTGGGGCAGTAGGCGGGCGGCAGGCGCCCGTGGCGACAATGTGCAGTGCGCTGGCACGTGGGCGGGGGCGGGG